CTTGGACACTTTTTATAGGAATACCCACAATTAAGTGTAATTTATGATCTGTTCAGTTTGTGTAAATAAATGATTGTTCTTTTATGAATCAACTTGAACTCGTCTGAACGTTCACTTATTGTGTCACTTTTCACTTTTCACTGTCAAGATATTAACAAGTAATGAGAAATACCTTGGTAAAAATTTCCTCATTACCTTGTGTATGAGAGATGTGGGAGAAGCTTAATACCACCTTAAGCCCCCCTACTACAATGGTGTAAATACTTAAAACTGGATTAACTGTTTCGGCCATTGATTAATATAAAAGTTCTGCATCAAAAGTCCATGACGATGCCTGCATAAACGAATATACTCAAAAATAAAACGTGATAGGAATAAAAGGATACGCTGTTTTTAAACAAGTTCAGTTCAGTTCAGTTCAGCTCTTTAAGTTAAGGTAAACGTGTTCATTGGGGGCAGAACATCACTCTGGAGGTGGGCTTTCCTTMGAAGAGTACATCAGCCTTTTCACTTTGTCACCAGCTCTRCAGTGGCCAGTGAGCCCCCTCCYCCTCCTTTAGCCTTAGTTTTTACCAGTCAGTTCGGTGGGAGGCAGGGAGACGTCCTCTGTGGCAATCTGAAGCTGGACAAATTGTTTGCTGCAGCCAGGCCCATTGGAGCCATCACCTTGCGAGTCTACCAACACTTCCCAGCCGGCAGGGTAAAACATGCCAGAAAGGAGATTATAATTAGTACTAATATCATGCTAATCCCTATTTTCACCATCATAGCTATTCCTTGTCCTAAATTTAGATCAAACCAACTCCACGACCAGTCATCTTTATCAGCATTCTCATTAAGTTCTACTTTTAATGCTCTAATTTTCTCCATGACTTCGGAAAACACTCCTCTTGTCATTGTATTCCGAGGCACATATGTACAACATTGGTCTTTAAACATCTGACAAACTCCACCTTGAGCGGCTAATAACCAGTCTAATGCTTGTCGYTTCTGCAAAGTCATTCTGGTGGTTTCATGCAACTGTTCTCCTAACAGCCCAAGTTGTTCAGCAGTGTAATTAAGTATGCGTTGTTGGTTATAAAAATGTAATTCACCCATTCCACATTTTGATTAAATGTTACCCAAGGGAGTACAGATTCCATCCCTGCTTTAATCTCATCCTTAGCTTTAAACTCAGGTGGTATTTGTTTAGGTTTACCTATTGCATTTAGATATACATTTTTGTCCAAAACATCATGTCTTTTATTTCTACTTTTATTATCACTTGTGTCCAGTTTAATTAACTCATTCACTCAGTCATGTACCATTGTTATGGCCATCTTCATTCTGACCATGGCACATAATCTGATCCATCTCAGTGGCAGTATTTTCCTGAGAACATCATCTTCACACATCCAATTACTATCTGCAATGGGAAAGGTTTGGTCGCCGAATAAATAAATTGATGGAATTGCCATGGTTATGTTTTCACATGCTTGGCTTAACAGTTCTGGGTTTTCATACCAAACAGGTTTTGTTACAAAGATTGGTGTCATATTTGCATGTGGAAACCAGGAGAGCACCCAAGTTACATTACATTTAACCGTTGTATTGCCTACATTAGATCCATGTTTATCTYTGAAGCCTCCACTTGTGAAACATTCAAATTCAGCATTGTAATCTATTTTGTATCTTGTTGGCGGTCCGTTTTGTTCAGTTTTGATTGAGAACGCAGTACATTTTTCTAGGATCTTATAACCACGGTAGATATCCAAATAATTGTGAATTTTCTGTGCTRCATARAGAAGCCTACATTTTATTGCACACATTGGAAGTTTGAAAAACATTGGTATATTTGACTGGGTGTTGGTTTGGTATTTATCTTCTTTACATTTTTCTCTTTGTTCTTCAGCACATTGCTGTGAATTGTATTTTTCTGGGATCACTATTGGTAATTAACCAGGAGCTTTAGTGCATATAATGCATTCTTCTTTGGTCATTTCCTTTGATATATAGAGTGCCCATAAATACCAGGTATTTTGATTTGCTAATTCCCAAAGTTCATCACTTTCAACCGGCCTTGTTCTCCCTGCTCTGGGAAAGATAATTCCATGATTTATTTCAGGTCTTTTTCCAAAAGGCTTAAACATAGGTTTGACATTTCCTTCATAATCAGTTCCTTCAATCAAATCCAATCCTCCCTTAAGAGGATCAGAAATGTCATAAATGTTATCACTTTTTGTAGTTGTTTCAGCATTTTCAGTTGTTTTAATGGTTGAATAGTTGTGTCATGTGTGGTTTCATCTTTACTAATTACCTTAACAGTTAATGTTTTTCTGATTGTTGGCTTTTCCACTGTTGGTTTAGTTGGTTCAGCATCATCTAATTTAATGGTAGGTGCGGTTAATGGTGTTGTTGTTTTAACCATGTTTAGCAATTTGTTTGCTTGTGTAGTTGTTGGCTTGACCATGGTTACCAAATCTTCCTGCTTTGGCGTTATTACTTTTAGTGTGGTTTTGGCTACTGTAGTTGGGAATATCTCTGGTTTTGCTGTTGTTTCCTGGATCCATTCCATTTTGTAGTTTATATCTTTTATTTTTCTAGATTTTACTCTTTTTGTTTTACATTTAGCAGTGTGTTTTGGTGTTTTTGAGCATGCAAATATATTTTGTAATGCTGGCAAAGGTGCCAGTTTGTGGTGGGGTGTTTTTGTTGCATCATACTCAGCTTTGTTATGATGGCTTGGTCCTGCTTCCAGCTTCTGTCCTGGCAAACACTCTCGTGACGGGTCTGCGAGGGCCCCGCTGTGATTGGCTGGCATTTTCACCTCCTCCAGTTGGATTTGGTCCCAAATGGATGCCCCTAGGATTATCCAGACCAGTATCATTGACAGATTACTTTCTGCTCCCTTTTTGGTGTCATGTTCAGTGTTTATTTTCTCTACAACACTGCCCTTGTTTATGTCTGGAACTTTGGTACAATTACTGAGATGGTACCAGGTTGAACTTCCTTCCACCTGAACTGCCGTCGGTGTGGCACGGACAGTGGTGAAAGGACCCAATCATCTTGGTTCGTGCCACTTCCTGCGGAAGACTGATGTAGACCTGGTCACCTGGAACCACTYGCCCCTCAGCATCTGCATTTGAAATAAGCTCTCTTTTCTTTTCCTGTAAGTTGATAGCTTTGTGAATCGTTGTTAGTTCTTCAWCATATGATTTTAATTCAAGTTCCAGCTGTTCAAGCGGAGGTCCCTTATGGGGACCTCTGTATTGCGGTGTTGGCATCTTTCTTCCTGTTAGCATTTCATGCGGTGACAAATGTGTTATTCTGTGAACTTGCGTGCGATAATACAAAAGTGTAAGTGGCAGAGCATCAATCCAGTTGAGGTTAGTAGAAGCACAGATCTTGTTAATCTTAGACTTCAAYCTCAAATTAACCCTTTCAACCATCCCTTGACTCTGTGTGGTAAACAGCTCCTAGGCGCTGTTTGATTCTCAACTGCTGCAAAATGCCTTTAAAAATATTTTGAACAAATGCTGGGCCATTATCTGAACTTATTTCTGATGGTATCCCAAACCTTTGTATGAACTCTCACCAGAAATTTCACAAATGTTTCTGCACTCATGTCCTTAGAAGGCAAAGCCTCAGCCCACCTGCTAAAGCGATCAATCACGACCAACATGTACCGTTTATGTTGGACTGACTTAATCATGTCAACATAGTCTATGACTAAATGTGTAAATTGTRGCTCTGGGACGGGAATGTGACCAACAGGTGTTTTTATACCTTTTCTCACATTMTTCTTTGCACAAATGTCACACAGGTCCAACATTTCATCAACCATAGCTCTCTGATATGGCGACCAATAACCTTGTTCCTTTAATCTGTTCAAGACTTCACCTCTTCTACAGTGATCTACACTGTGACTTTCTGATATTAAAATTGTCAGTAGTGATACTGGTGCAACAATCAATCCTTCATGTGATCTCCACAACCRATAATCATCTTGGGTTGCTCCTCTTTGACTCCAGAACTGTTTTTCACTCTGTGTTGCATTGTTCTGAATGTGAATGATGTCATCTGGTGTCATTACTGGTTCAAGTGAAATTACTGGTGTTAAAATTGCTGTTTTGCATCCTGACGCAATTTTCGCTGCATCGTCTGCCGCATTATTTCCTAATATGATTTTATTGTTGCCCTTGCGATGAGCAGCACATTTAATTACGGCTAATTTTGAAGGAAGCATCATGGCAGATATTAGTTCATTTCTCTGTTTCCCATGTTGGATGGGGCTTCCATCTGACTTTTTGAAACCTCTTTGTTTCCACACATTGCCAAACAGGTGGCAAACGCGATGTGCATAAGAAGAGTCAGTGAAAATGTTAGCAACTTTTTTGTTAGCTAGTTTACATGCCTCTGTCAGGGCCTTTAGTTCAGCTAGTTGTGCCGAACATGGTTGTTCACATTGTTCTGCTTTTATTATGTGAAATTTTCCATCTGTCTTTCCTACAACAGCAAAAGCTGCATGATTTCCTAAGTGATCTCTGAAACATGATCCGTCAACAAAATATGTGACGTCTGCGTTTTCCAGAGTAGTGGACTCCAAATCTGGTCTCAGCTTTGTGCATTTTGCTGCTTCTGCCACACATTCATGTGGTTCCTCTTCAAACTCAAAAAGGAATCACATTAGCTGGATTTGCTGTGGTGCATCTCTTGAATGTCACATCAGGGTATGTCAACAGTGGTATGTATTGCAGACATCTTGCTGATGTTAACACAAACCTTCCTTGGTTGATTAGTTCAGTGATTTTGTGATGTGTCTGGATTATCACTGGATAACCCATGGTTATTGCTGATGCTTTGTCATAAGCATAGTGAACTGCTGTTACTCCCTGGTAGCAGCTTGGCCAACCTTGGACAACATTGTCCAGTTTTGTACTGTAACAGGCAATTGGTTTTTTTCACCGTCCAGCASAAGTTCCTGCATCAAAACTGCTGTTGCATACTTTTCATGTCTGTTTGCTACATACAGAAAAAATGGTTTTGTGAGTCTGGTGTTGCCAGACATGGTGCAGTTTGCATGTCTTGTTTGATTGTTTCAAAAGCTATTTTAGCTACATTAGTCCATTTTAAAGGTGTCTTTAATGACTTACTTTCAGTTTGTTTGATTAGTACTCTTAATGGAGCGGTTTTTTTCAGCATAGTTTTCAACCCACTCGGAACTAAATCCGGTCATCCCTAAAAATGCCATCATTTGGCTTACATTTTGTGGTAATGGAGCTTTACTTATCCCTTTTAGGTGTTCTGGGGATATGGAGACAGTCCCATGAGAGATCAGTCTCCCAAGATATTCAACTTGTGGTTTGCAGAGCTGTAGTTTTGTTAGAGAGGACTTGTGTCCTCCCTTTGCTAGTTTTTGAAGAACTTTGTGTCTCGACGAGAGTCTTCAACCGTGTTTGAACAGATRAAGATGTCATCAACATACTGTATCAAAGTACTATTAATCTCAATACCTTCCAGGTCTTGTTTCAACAACTGATTAAACACATGTGGACTGTGCTTAAATCCTTGTGGCATGCGTGTGTAACAGTATTGTTTGTCACGATATTTGAATGCAAATAAGTACTGTGATTCTTCTGCCAGTGGAATGCT